CATAATTTTTGGTATAGTAGTTGTGACTTATTCACAGTATATACATTTGGCTTCCGCAACAATAGGTACTCTGCATACATGTCTTAGTATGTTTTTCATGTGTAAGTTGATGTCTTGTCGTCTCTTCTTATAATCGTTATACATTTTGATGATAAATGAAAAATCATTGAATTGTTGACTTCAGCAATAATCCTGATTTGAAGGAACTTAATACTTCCAATGACTTGGCCAATTAATGGAAATGCTGTCTCAAAAAAATACTCTGACCGAGACGAGAACTTGGCAACTCAAATGGCAGCTATGAGTTTGAGGGATAAGCCAAGATCTTCAAGAAGTTCCAAGTGAGTGTAGGGTGTACCATATAGAAAGTTTCAGCATGGGAAAATTACAGAAGTTTGTGCATAAGTATACGGGAACTCGAGCATATTATAATGGAGTTCCAGCATAAGTATACTGGAACTCCAACATAATATACTGGAGTTCCAATATAATATGCTGGAAGTTCATACACAAGTGCTCCAATCTCCAGTATATTACGCGGGAACTTTCCGCGTGTTCCAGCATAATATGCTGGAAGTTCATACACAAGTGCACTGATCTCCCGTATATTTTGTTGGACCGGTCCATGTTGCAGCAAAATAGTGGCTATTTTCAATGACTTTGCAAACGCTAACTATGTTTGAATGACCAGTCCGAAAACTGGCTAGCCCGTGGTATTTTAACTTGTTTTTTGGTAGATGACTTGTGTATATAACTAATCTTTTCGATAAGGTACTCCCTCCAGTCCACTTTAATTGATATTTTGGTCTTTCTTTGTGGTCCACAATATTTGATTTTTTTCGAGAAGAGATTAACTTCTTTTTTTCAAAGTTGCCCTTGGAGTAAAAAGTCTAGAAGTATTTGTTATATTTGGAATGAACAAACTAAGGTTATGGTCAATTTTATTATTAATTAATACAAAAGGTGGGTTCCTTAATATGAGTGAAACAGCCAAAAAATCAATTAAAGTGGACCGGAGGGAGTATCAGAGTGATATTGTTACTAACTCTACTCATGGTTACGAGTAATTTTCACAAGTCCAAGACGAAGAAAGGAGGAATGATCAAAGCAGTGTGGCAACCGATCTCAGATCAGTCTAGTTATTGACTCGTCGATGATTTATTACGGAATGTTCTGACTGCAACGCGTTCAAATGAGTTCAAATGGGAGACCTTAAAGTTGCATACAAGAGGTAAATATAAGATATTATAGTTTGCAATTCTATCATGTTTTTTCTGAGGTAACCTTGTTACACGTGTTTGAACTGCTTTCTAAAGCTACTTTTAAGTTTTTCTCAATTTATGTTGTTGATTCATTTGACATAACAAATTTTTGAACATTAAATTCTCTGTTTTTGGCAGATTGTAGCTTCCATTGCTTGGAAGCTAGGCATATAATACTCCTTTGATCTGCTGATTCTTGAATTTTTGCTGTTGTTACTTGTTATGACCCTTTTGATTGAAATTTACAGCTACAGCATGTACAAGACTATTATTGGTAGTTGCATTGTAATGAGATTTATTCAATGGATGGTTTGCGTAGCTTGCAAAATGGAGCTCCCACCCTCTCAAAAGTATCAAAGACTCCATGTTATACAGCTCGAAGATCTTAGTATGTCGAATCAATTTAAATAGACTTAATTATAAGAAGATTTGCCAAATCTGTTACTCATACATAATCATTTTTGTTTTACTTCACGGAACATTCCTGGTTTCTTCATCTTGGAATTTTGAAAATTATTGGTAAAAATGAGTAGAGTTAGTAAATATATTGATCTGATACCCAAAAAAGGAGTATTTCTTTGGTAGCAACACAAGTCATCAACTTCTGTTTTTTTACTTTCCATGCATTATTTCCCTTATAGACAAAAAACGTTGCCCGATGGACAAAGCATCCTGTATTTACGAGGGTCCGGGGAAGGGCCGCACCGTAAGGGGTGTGATGTGGATTTACTTTCTAAATGTACAACCAAAACTTACTTGGAACTTCTTGAATATCCTGGTTTATCCCTCAAACTCATAGCTGCCAGTTGACGGGCCAAGTTCTCGTCTCCATCACTGTGAGCTGAGCTAGTTCTTGAGACAGTATTTCCATCAATTGGCCAAGTCATTGGAAGTATTAAGTCTCTACAGAACAAGAAGACTTGTAAAGTCACCATTTCAATGGTTTTCATTTATCCTAAAATCAGCAATTTTGATCCCAAAATAATTTAAGCCTCAAGACAAACAATATTGAAGAAACAAAATCAAAGATGGGGTTCTTGAATATGAATTAGTACTCAATTGAGTCAAAGAAGAGTGGAAGAAAACTTAAAATATTATAATAAGTCTAATGAACCCGAAGCAGCATACCTTCCACTTGGCGGCTTTGAATGTAGGTGAGTCTGTTCTAAGTAATGTTTCTATTTGGCCAAGCTCAATGGTTGCATTTGAAATTGCTTGATTCAATCTCTTGTCGTCAGTAACATCAAAGTAACAACGTCTAGCCTTGGCGTCAATGACTAAGTTTCTCCAGATGGAGCCACTGTTAACCAAAGTTGCGCCGTTCCCCAATATCCAAAGGCAGTATCTGCATAAGAAGCCAAGGAAACAATTAAGTACATGTTCATCAATTATCTTCTTGCAGAAAAATAGCCAATTCGAACCATCCTTGATCTACAAACATTTCGAGATGAATTAAAGTTGTCTAGCAAATTCTGGATGGTGAGGAAACTATTGGAAGCAAGGGAGGTTATAGTCAACTACACAAGCCTTTAGATGATAAGAGAAGTATCATCAAACAGATCTATCTTCAACTGATACCAACCTTACCTAAAACTAGCTGGAGGAGACTAATGTGCCAAAATGTTGCTAGACCTAAGGCCATACTAACAATGTGGCTGCAATGCCAATGGAGGTTACTTACTGTGGATAGACTTAAGAAATGGGGAATCACTGTAAATGATACCTGTGTGCTTTGTCAATCAAGTTTGGAGACAAGAAACCACTTATTTGCTGAATGTGGCTATGCTAAAAGTTTATGGAGTAGACTGATTCATTGGGCACAACTACAGAATAATAGAAGTTCTACATGGGAGGAGCAGCTACAGTTCATTTGTTATCATACCAAAGGGAAGACAAATCAGCAAAACTCCTCAAGATGATATATGCTGAATATACGCATGCCCTGTGGAAAAAAACCATCGAATATTTCAAAAGACATCCAGAGATCACACTAGCTTGGCAAGGGAGATAGCCTGCATGTGTAACTTTAGAGCTACTTGTGAAAAAATAAAGTTGATTTTTTTGGAAGAGTAAAAATTATAATTAGAAGAAGTTTCTAGAAAGTTATGGAGTAATATCTTGCATAATGGATATTTAAGGAAGATATTAGTAGAAGGTGATAGAATTGTCTAGATTATTTTTGTATCTAGAATCATCCCTATACAAGTATAAATAGGAGTAGTCTTAGGCATTTGTAGTGAAGCCAAATTCAAGAAATTAAAGTTTTCTTCAATAACAAATTTCTCCTTTCAAAAATCTCTCTTCTCTTTTCAAGCTTCCTCTTCTTTAGTTGAATCCTCCAATCTTAGTTAACGATTTTGGGCTAGCAGAAGGTCTCAGAAAAATACTCTTCTTCTACTATTCTTTAAAGTAGTAATTTTATTAATTTTTATTGGATTATCGGTTAACCCATTAACAAAATTGGCAAACTGAGGCCCGAACCAATAACCCAATAGTGAAAAAATTCGAAACCGTTACCGAACCGTTAACCCAATAACTCAATACCGATAACTCAATAAATAATGAACGGTTGGGTCATCAGTTTTATCCGATATATGCCCAGCCCTAGGATGTAGGCCTTGTTTATGCATAAATTTTTTCAGTAATGATAACATGTGCATAATGCTAACATAAATTTAGGTTAACATATTCGATCAAATAAAATAAGAAAAAAAATTCAATTTTCTACTATCTAATTCAATTAACACTCCAATTTGCGCTATTTCCATTTCTCTGTATCATCAGACATTTTATTACATACTTGAAAGATAACATATACTAAGACGTAAAGGTGTAGATCTAATAACCATTAACCTATCGAGAACTTAGAACCACGCTATAAGAATTAGAGCTCTCGTTCAAACTCTGAGCGTAGAAAAATATTTCTCATAGTTGCTTTGTTGTTTTCTCTCTAAGCACGCCTGGCCTGGAATCATAGAGCAGGATCCCATCTTAATAAAGTTGTATAAGTCATCCATTTTAGGAACAATAGTAGTAAACTTGCAATAACAAGTAAAATGATACTCCTTAAAAGATATGATAGATTCTGCATTAAAATGCAGACCCTTTTACTCCAAAGGCAATATGGGAGAACAATAGGGAAAACACAGAAATTAAAACAAAAGGAGAAGAGGAAATCAATGTAGAGAGAAGAGACAATATATGATTATACAACTCATATCTAGTTTCCAATTGATACTATATTCAAATATTCAGTCATGTGTAAAACGAAAAGGAAAAAGGAAAAACAATCTATAACAGTTGGTCTATACTCTTGACATTCTGAACTGAAGTGAAGAATGCCTGTAGAGTACAGTCTTTTACATCTCTGAACAAAAAAAGTGATACGAATTGAGGAAGACTCCTTTAATTACATCAGTGCAAATTGTCAAAATGCAAGTCATAGTTAGACAAATGTAGTTGTTCCTGATCTTACCCATAATCAAAAGTAAAGGACCCTTTATTTGGTCTGATTCTGAAATTTACATAGCCATTTCTATCATTCTTTAGTAAGACTTTGGCTTGCACTAGCAAAGAAAAGGAGCCTCAGTGAAGAATATCTCATGTCTTTCAACTATGCCTATATTAGCAAGGTAATCAACTAAAAATTTGCTTTCCCATAAAAATGTGTTACTTAAAACTTCCCTAAAGCCATCAGTTGATTAATCTACAGAATTAAGCTCCTGATCTGCCACATAGGTAGAGTGCTACTGTCATCCTAGAAAAGAACATATACCCAAAATCTCAGGAATACATAAGAACAATCAATATAAATTATAGTTTTACAGTAAAAAGCTAACTTACAGCTACACGGCTTCAACATTGCCATATTTTGGAAGAAACCTCTTCCAAAACCAATGTTGTTTGAAGAGATCTTCCTCAACTCCTTCTCTGTCTTTCTTTTCTCTCTCGGGCAAAAATTTATAAATTGAGAAGCACATTCCCAGTGTCAGAGCAGCAAATAACATGAATATCCAAGCCTTGAGAGCATAAAGGAGCAGCTAAACGGTTGGATTCATGATTAGGCACATGAGCAAAGATATTCTCGTCTCCCAGCATGCGCCTAACGTTCTAATCTCTTCTGCGTGCGATTATTCATTCCACTCAAAAGGCCCTGAGAATATTGAATAGCAGCCTATGAAGGGGAGGGCAAATGCCATGCCAACACATGCACTCTTTTGGCTCAGTTGAAAGATATAGTCTCCTACCAAAAGGAAGAGACCCAACAAGGAAACCTGGAAAAATCCTAGAAAAGTGATATCAAGTTACATATGCTATATTTCAGTTAATAAAAATTGATCTATATAAAGAAAACCTAAATAAGAAAGAAATGAAGAAGTACATGTGCTAAAATCATGCCTAAACACATGTTGAGACTAGAGTCCTCCGTCGGCCAAAAACGTTGTAACTCGGATAAGTGAGTCCAGCAACTCAAGCTCGAATAACTCCGGCAATGAGTGGAGCGACGAAGGAGGCATTATAGGTGTATCTAGTTGACTGCAGAAGTAATGGTCCAAAGAATAGTATTGAGTCTAAGTGCCACGACCCAAAATCAAACCGTCGTGATAGCGCCTATTGTGGAACTAGGCAAGCCAACTAGTCAACTATCTCAACACAATAAAAGCCGTGAAAAATATACAGAAGCAGTTAATATTTAAGGAAAACCTTTCAAAACAGAAAATATTTTCGCAACTCAATACAAATCTCTCCCAAAACCGGGGTATCACCGAGTACATGAGCATTTACAATGGAAGATAGTCTAATACAATGTCTAAAGAGTAAAACTGAAACATAGTAAAGATAATGAAGGAGAGTCAAGGCTTGTGAATGCCATGCAGCTACCTCGATAGTCTCCCAAGATCCTGACTCCACACTCAGCAGTTGCCGTGTCCGGAAGCACCTGGATCTGCACCTAAGGTGCATGGTGTAGCGTGAGTACAACCAACTAAATAAGTAACAAATCTAACCTTTGGACTGTATGTAGTGACGAACATAACCCGTACAGTTCAATATTGAAATAATAGTGCAGAAACATAGGCATGCTTTCAAGTTCAATAGATAAACTCAAAACAGTAAGATAGATCAAATCTTAATGATATGAAAAATATACTCCTCTACTTCTACATGCCAATGCACATGCTATATGTGATGCACCATGGTGACAGCCTCATGTGCTCACACTCTCAAATGCTCAATCACTCAGTACTGTATATTGCAGGATAAGATCCATCCCGGAATATATACATCAACTAACCATCAGTCACTCAGTACTGAGTAGGGCCAATCCAGCCTGTGGGGAAGATCCATCCCCAGTTATATAAATGCTTCGGACAAGATCCGTGTCCAGGGAAGATCCATCCCTCAATATAATCAACCGCACTTACTGGGAGTGTTTTCAGACTCCGAAGGGGCTCCTTCATGCCAAGCTCTATCATAAATCAGTATAACCTCTACGGCATGCAGTCTGATCCCATAAATGTCACTCATAATCATGTCATCAGCCTCACTCAGTCATAAATCTCTCCGGTCTCTCTCACAAGCTCACAATGTCATGAAACTAGCCCGAACATGCTGATATGATGTATCAATAAATAACAACAGAGACTGAGATATGATATGAAATGCATGAATATGACTGAGTACGAAATATCAATGAAATCAGTAGTTCAACAACAAGAAATGACGACTATGCGTCCCAACAGTACCAGCATATAGTTCTAAACATGATCTCTATCATGATTGAAAGCTCAGTTACTTTATCACATGATGAAAACACAGATATCAACAAGATAGAACAATAATAGAGTGCCATGAAATCGACCAGGTCACAATTCTCACGGTGCACGCCCACACGCCCGTCATTAGGCATGTGCGTCACTTCAACACCATTCACTTAACACATAATTCGGGGTTTCGAACCCTCAGAGCCAACTTTAGAAGTGTTATTTACCTCAATCTGAGAAAAACTCTACTCCAACACGCCTTTGCCTCACAAATCGGCCTCCAAATGACTCGAATCTAGTAACAAGCAGTATAATACAATCAATACTGGCTAAAGGAATCAATTATACAAGAAATTACAAAGTTATAACTCGAAAATCCAAAATTGGCTCCAAGCCAGCCCCTAGGCCCACGTCTTGAAATCCAACAAAAGTCACAAAACCCAAAAGCCCATTCAACCATGAGTCTACCCATACCAAATTTATCAAAATCCGAAACAAAATCGCCACCCAAAATCCCAAAGTAAACTCTCCAAATCCCTAGCCTCAAACCCCCAAATTTCACTTTAAAACCACACAATCTAGGTGGGAAAATCAATGGGAAACAAGATTATTAAATAAAAATAAACAAAAAGAACTTACCTCAAGAATCCCCTCGAAGATCCTCTCAAAATTCTCCAAAACCCGAGATCAAAATGTTAGAAATTGTGAAAATATCGGAACCCTCGTATATATATATGTTCTGCCCACCAATCTTGCTTCTGCGACTCACTTAGCCGCTTCTGCGTCTTCACAGGAACGACTCCAAGCCCGCTTCTGCGGCTATATCCGCACATGTGCTAGAACTTCAGCTCCTACGGAATCACGTCTGCGAGAAAACATCCGCTTCTTCGGAGCCCAACTCCACAGTCCACTTCCGCTTCTGCGGTCCTCCAGCTGCATCTGCAGTCACGCAGGTGCGACAAAACCTTCGCACCTGCATCCACTGCTCACACATCTCCAAACTCCGCATATGCATTGCTTCTCTTTTATTGTAATCTTTTAGGATGGAGCTTGGGATGGACCCTTATCATTTTTCGTTGCATGTTCGGGCCCTCCACAAGTGCGATTACACAAGCAGTCCTAGCTTCAGAAACTTAACTAAGTCCAATTCCAAGTCCGTTAACCACTCGAAATCAACCCGAGGCCTCCGGGACCTCAACCAAACATACCAACAAGTCTTAAAATATCATATGAACTTAATCAAGCCTTCAAATCACCTCAACAACATCAAAAACATGAATCGCACC